GGCGGGCACGTCCTGCCTGCTCGCCGGGCTGGGCCCCTCGCTCCCACCCCGGGCCGTCCTGCTTCCCAGCCGCGTCTGGGAGCGCTGCGGTAGCCGTGAGCCTGCGGGAAAACAGAACTTGTTGCTAAAGTTTTAAAGTAAGACTCGGCAGGTTTGGGTAAATCGAGATGCCTCCTAGCAGCGTGAGCTGTTGGCGCTGTAAATGCGTTGTGACGGGGCACGGGTGCTGTTCAAGAAGTCCATCTGCTTGCAGCTGTGACTTCCTTGATAATTCTTACCTTGCTTTCGTGTGAGTCTCTTTATTTCGTCTTAATCTGTGCTTCACTTCTTGGTAATTTTGAGTTGCTGAAGCCACAAACGTACTGCAAAACAAGCAATGTGTTGTTGTGAGTTTAATACGGCTCCCTTTTAAAACATAAATGCTGTCTGAAAGTAGTTTTTGAAGTTCTTATCTGAAGTACTTTAGCATGTGTAGTTTTCAAACAACTTCACTGAAAATGTGTTTCTTATGAAATATGAACTAGAATTGACTTTTCAGCAGAAAATGGATAAAATTGCAATCTTTGCTAGTGAACTATGCAGAGGCCAGAAGAGACAGCAGACTTCACCAGGTCAGTTTCCATTAGTATCACTTCTGAAGCAAAGCTTGGGGAAAAACAAACAAACAGTTATTTGAAATCCTGAGAAACTTGCATTTAGGCAGCAAAAAGTACGTTGGTCTCTTTGTTAGTCTGTCTAGCAAAACCTTGATTGAGTAAATGGCTGAACTTTATGAGTCATACTTCAGTCTTGTCTGCATGACTGATGAGTTCATATGCAGGCTGTTGTGCTCCTGGTGCTTTCTGGAAGTTTGTGAGAGTCCTCTTCTCCTGCTTATGGTGTGAGGAGCGGGTCACCCTCTTCTGGCTTTCCTGAAGGTCTGGGAGAATCATCTTCTCACTGACCACCTTCCCCATAGCCAGGTCTCTTCTGTCTCTGCTACTATTCCCAAGATACCTGTATGCAAGAAGTATGATTTTCTTCATTGTGTGCATTTTGCAAATATAAAAACTGTTTGCTAGAAAGCATGGCATTAAAACACAAACAAAAATATACTCACAAAATGGCTTGCAGTGGGAGGTATTTTACTAGGACTTAAACCAGGAGTGAAAGATTGTTTGAAAGCCTTACATGTGGAGATGGCCAGGGAATAAAATTGGAAAACCAAATCTCAAATCCATGGCCACTCAGAAAAGAGAACTTAGGTACTAGTTGAAATCTTTGGTTTTAGACTGCTACACTTAAAGAAAAAAAAAGTAAAAAAAAAGTATGAGTGTTTTGGTATTTTGATGGTGTTGGGCTAGTGTTTTAAGGCTTAATATTTTGTGGGGTGGGAATGTTGCCTTAACCTAACTTCTTACAACATATTTTGAAGTAAGTACTCTTC